CGCTAGATACTTACACAACATTCCAATAAAAACACAATAGGTACACATAACTTGTGATGTAACATTTCCTTCATACTTTCATCCTGGCTTAGGACAGGCAAAAATTGAGGAATTAAGGAAAAATCGAGATTTTACTAAAAATATGTTTTTATTTTTCATTTAATTTACATTCTATAAGTGAAACCAAACCACTGGTTTCAAGGATAACGGTGTTTGCACTAACACCCTGTATATTTTGAACGACAGTGACAACCTCTGAACTGTTTTGAAGTTATCTTTATATATATTTTACATAAAATAATATAATTCAAAAGGAACATTGCCGCTGTAATCATCTGGTAGCTCAGTCAGTGCCTTTCTTCACATCTTTTGCTAGGAAATTCTTTACTTTTTTGGGTCCGTATTTATATAATAAATTACACCAAAAATTATCTATTTATGAAGTCAACAGATGGTCATGTAAAAATACTGAACAATTACTGCAAATTATCTCATAAATATTCACAGTCATACACGCAGACATGCTAACAGTCACAAATTCTCATGCTACAAAAATACGTGGTTTTTTTTTCTATATAATATTATTTCTAATCATAACATGAGATCCTCATGATAAGATAATCATGATCTCCTCATAATATTATACTTGTTGCCAAGTAAATTCGGGGGGGGGGCTGGTGACCCGTGATACGGATCCTTGAACCTACACGGGAACCAGTCAACCATGAATGACAAAATATTTTTAAAATAGAGATTTAACACTAATGTATCTTCCATGTCGTTTGTGGTGAGAAATAAATAAATTATTATTATTATTAATTATTACATACAGCGAGTTTTTCCGCTAGATTATAATGCGGGTATTTTCAAATTAAGAGTGAATAGGTAGACTTTCGTTAAGTCAGTGCATTTTAGCACCTTCTGCTGCATCATCACTTAGCATCAGGTGCCTTAAAGTTATAAAGTAAAGTATCGTTTTGAAGTTTGATACGTATATTTAGTATTGACAGTAACAAGTTTACTCGCAAACACAGAACTCATTTGTTGTAACTTAACCACTAACATTAGTGGTGAAGCGAATTTATGCTTATAGGTGCAATTACGCAAGTTCATGACATAATTTTGTTATAATGATTTCTTTAGTTTACGAGAACAATACACATCTATTTAAATAGATTTTATCGCGTAATATCAAATCATTTCCTCTGGTGGGTGCTATAAAGTGCTCGAAACGGATCAGGAATATAAAATAAGCTAATATACGCGACAAAACCGTAAAAAAAGTTTTATTTAAATGATTGTGTCAGCTATCATATAACGAAAACAAAATTACGTGCAGCCGACAAAATATCGTTCACACAGACTCGACGACTTCCAGCCTCCCGAATAAGCCGGTTTCCGAAAAGGATTCAGTACCATAGACCACGTACATACCCTGCGGCAAGTTGTACAGAAGACCGAAGAGTACAATCTGCCACTTTGCTTTGCGTATGTGGACTATGAAAAAGCCTTTGATTCCGTCGAAATTTGGGTGTTACTACAGTTCCTTCAGCGATGCCAAGTTGACTGTCGGTATATCAAAGTGCTGCAGTGTTTGTACAGTAGGGCTACGATGGCTGTCCGAGTACAGAACCAGAGTACGAAACCTATCAAATTGCAGAGAGGTGTAAGTCAGGGTGACGTTATATCCCCAAAACTCTACACTTAGAAGATGTTTTCAAGCTACTGGACTGGAAAGGATACGGTATTAACACCAATGACGAGTACGTCACTCACCTTCGATTTGCCGACGATATGGTCCTTATGGCAGAATCGCTGGAGGGCATAAGCACTATGATCAATGACCTCAATAGTGTCTCCCAACAGAAAGTTCTTAAGATGAACATGGACAAAACTAAGATCATGTGTAATGTCCATGCCACATCTATGCCGGTAGTTGTTTGGAACACTAAGCGCAAAGTTGTTGATGAGTACGTTTACCTGGGACAAATAGTCCGACTAGATAAGTCCAATTTCCACCGAGAGGTCAATCGACGAATTCAACTCAGCTGTGCAGCGTTCGGGAAATTAAGAAACATCTTCTCGTCAGGTATACCTCAAAACTTGAAAACTATATTTTACAACCAGTGTGTGTTGCCAGTGATGACATGTATCTGAGACGTGGGCCTTCACTGCCGGCCGTATGAGGATGCTCAAGGTTGCTCAGCTAGCTATGGAGAGGGCTATGCTCAGGGTTTTCTGCGTGATAAACTTAGAAATGAGAATATCCGCAGTAGAACGAGAGTAACTGACATAGCCCAACGGATTAGTAAGCTGAAGCGGCAATAGCTCGAAGAACTGACGACTGATGGGGAAAAAGGTTCTCGAGTAGCAGCCTCGCACAGGTATCTAGGCATAGTGTAGGGTGACCCCCCACTAGATGGAGTGATGACCTGGTAAGATATGCAGGAAGTCGATGGCTGCAGGTGGCTCAGGACCGTGCTTTGTGACATTACTTGGGCGAGGCCTATGTTCAGCAGTGGACTTGTGAAGGGTTGTAATGATGATGATTGTATGTTTGTATGACATTATAGTTTCCTCGCGGGCGAAATTCAAAACTTTGTGTTTTCTTGTATTATTAATGTAATGATGATGATTAAATGATTTTGGATCACGATTTTTTGTTTTGGGAAACATAAAATAAACTTAAATACGTCATACAAACTTAATTCAATTTTACTAAATCTTACACGGTATTTTATAATTAATTAGAAGTATTATTTCCAGAATGAGTTTCGAAAATTACTGGGAAAGTTAAATATCACGCTTTATTTAAATCAAGATGTATGAAATTTGTTTTAATTGCTATGTTTTTAGATACTTACTTTTATTTTATTTACTACATATTTTTACGTCTAAAAATGTTTATTGTATTTAACTATCCATATTTTTTCTAATCAGAGTATGAGTTATTGAAATACTTTAAACGCAAGGATAACAATAAATAAAGGTCACTGATGCATACAATCGAGATCAGAGTATAAGACAAGTTAACTGTTTATCTCAAGCCACTACGCGCAGCTGACGATATCTCAACTCTGGAAATGTCAAAGACATTTTAGGCAAAGTTAGCGGGTTTTCCTTATTTTAAGATATAAACCTGTTTTATCTAATCCCAAACAAGGTTAAAATAACAAGGTTTGAAGAAAAAACTTTGCCTTTTCTGCTTCGGTCGGAGGAACCTCATTTCTAAACGGTAGTTAGATTTAAAAATAATGACATTTAATAAAGGAATTGTTATTTTCTTACTTGAGAGTAAGATAATAAAATAAAATAAACTATTAATTTATTCATTGGAATTCTGTAATTTAAATATTCGTAATTTCGTAATATTCTATAAATTAAATAAAATTCGCTAGAATGCTTAACAAAGGTAGACGTATAATATTAACAACGGAGTGTAATAATTATAATTTACAATTATGTACTTGTATATATTATGTTGTGTTACCGTGTTTGTGTTTCTGCATATCCTTATCTGGCTATGGAGAAGCCTTCAAAAACATTTTTGGAAAATAAAGGACGTATCAGATGATAACTTAACGTTTAAACTTCTTGTTTTAATTCCCAATTAGGTAGGCGGGCATGTACGAGATACGCCATGAGCTTAGTTAACAAAGAGAGTACAATATATTTGCTTGGTTTATTTGTGTGATACGGTAAGGAATAATCGCGTGAAGGTACGAGGTAGGCCACAATCCTAAAGTTTTTTCCCTACTTTAATGAAATGTAAGTACAATAAACCGCGTCGCCAACAAAGGAAATAATTCAAATTCGTTTTCGTTGTCGAAATTATTTTACATACGGCCTTATTCCATTACATCCTTTTGCTTATCGTATTTCGAGATTCCTGCACAGAAAATTTTATTTATTCGTATTATTGATGGAAGAATTTGTTACGATATTTTATTCGATCTGAGTTTTATCTTTGACAACGATTGTCTGTCGAACATTGACATTGTAGGTAAAATATTTAATCATGCCTCTTTATTTTACCATTCATGATTAATAAACTTGTTTTAAGGAGCGACATAGTGTAATTAAAGGTAAATGTTATTACTAATTATGTACACTTTTATATGTGACCTCCTACATCAAGGCCTGAAAGAGATTTTCTAAGGAAAAAAACAAAACTAGCATAAACGGGATGATTAGACTTCCGTCCATCGAAATGATAAAATGGGTGATGGATCCTCTTACGTGCCTTATATATATATATATATATATATATATATATATATATATATATATATATATATATATATGTCGTATATACATAACATATTGTATATACATAACTACATAATTGTAAATTATAATTATTACAGTCCCTTTTTAAGCATTCTAGCTAATTCTTTTTAATTTTAATTTTTAAATTCGAAATTACGTATATTTACATTATAAATTTAAATGAAGCATTCAAAAATAAATTTATTTATTTTTTATTTTAGTATCTGTCAATTGTCAACACACATATGTGTGCGCGTGTGCCCGTGTGCGCGTGTGAGCGTTTGCGCGCGCGTGTGTGTGTGTGTGTGTGTGTGTTTGAGTACTGATAAACCGTTATTGTATTTTGCCTACCGAAAAATCAGTTAAAATAATGCATTACCACGCAATATAAAAGAGGCTTAATGTTTTAGATATCTTTATTTAATTTTTTTTCACAATTTGCCTTTATTACTTATTCAGAACCTTCTTTGAAAATTTGGCTGGTGATTGCTAAATAACCCTGTATATATTTAGAAAAATTAAAGTTTGGTATGCGTTTTGTATGTGTAATAAAGAGTATGAATAAAAATAATAAAAAATATATTCTCTGTATATTTACATTTAATTTCACTGCTGTACGTACAGTCTTCCCGAAAATAATAAGTAAAAAAAGAAAACAAGTTTTTATATTCATATTCTTTTTCCGCTAATAATTTTGATCAGATGTCTCACAATGTTTTGTTTGTCAACAGCCGACATCGGGAAGTGTGAAGTACCACTAGGCATGGAAAACGGGATGATTTCCAACGAGTCCCTGTCCGCTAGTTCCAGTTACGACCAAAGCGTATCCCCGCTCAGTTCAAGGTAAGCCTATAAATTTATCCTTACTTGTCCTTATTCCTGTAGGTTTTAGATTGTAACGAATAATGCTCAGTCAATAAAATATTTCGTTTATAACCCAACTTCCGGATACATAGTGACGTCTTGAACAACCTTATCCTATGACTTCTATACAATTAAGGGTGACTAGAGAGGACACAGCCCGCCTAGAGGTTAGTGGATGCAGTGGCTTATAGACACCTATATCTATCATTGATTAAAATTTAATTTTTTTTTAAATTTAAAACACAGATGCATTGTTGAGAACATGACATGACAAAAGATGGAATGTGTCTTTCACACAGCTTTATCACAGCTGCCCCGTGGTTCTAACACGTAGGCTCTATGTTATGGGCGTAATAATATTTACGAGTGTTAAATGAAAGGACTAAACCCCACAGACTTTCAACGGCTAAAATAAAAGTAAAAGTAAAGTAAAGTTACAGCCTATATGCGTCCCACTGCTGGGCACAAGCCTCCTCTCATTTGTTTTAGGGCGAGGAAGTATCCGCCGCGCTGCCCCAACGCGTGTTTGCGAACTTCACATGTCTTCGAAATATTTTTTTCTTATTCCTCAGACATGCAGGTTTCCTCACGATATTTTCCTTCACCGCCGAGCACGTGGTAAATCAACATTTAAAATTGCAATTAATAATTTCATTGGTGCCGGCGGGGATCGAACCCGGTTTGCTCGCGTACTGTGAAATTTACAGCGAGCGCTAACCATCTGAGCTACCACGGCAAAATAAAAGTATAAATTATAAAATCTATGATGGGTTCTGAAATGCATGATATACATGGTAAAGTCATACTGAGCTAATTGGTAGCACGAATGGGTCGGCTCGACCGGGGAAGGACCACGCACTCACAGTATACTAGCGTAAAATAGCAGCTTATCGCTGTTGTGTTTCGTATGGTGAGTGTAGAGAACCGGAAACGCTTTTTATTGGAAAGTAAGTAAGTTTCCATCTTAGTCCTCACGAGTAACAACGCATTTTCATTTTGATTCGCAATCGAGGATAGATTTAAAGTTCTATGGGCCACAGCAACCACCTACCATCAGGTAGACTGTGTGCTCGTTTGTCACCCTTCTCTTATAAAAAAATGAAATTTTTTTATTTTAAATCACGTTTGATAAACGAGGCATATTCCATGTGATGATAAGTGGATACTGTGGGTCATAGAATACGTTGCACCGGAGCTCTATCACGCGTGTTATAACAGAATATATAGTATAAGCTCCCAAACACCAGCTTTATTTAACTTGATTTTTTATTTTAAGCGAGACAGGATATGTGACCTTGGTCTAAGGTCATATAAAATGGAGTGAGAATTTGAATTTGGAATGTCCATCATTTCCTGGTAAAATTAGTTTTTTGGAATTTTGTACAATTTAGCCCTTTTCTAAATACAGAGCTTTCGGTAAAAATATATTATGACCATTACAGATTCAATAACCGCACTGCGCTTACTGTACGTCCATGTAGACGTTACAACAATTACTGTTCAGATATGGTAAAGTTGTTACAATAATTGTGAATCCGCAACCACAACGCAGATACTTAACTCCAACAATTAACAAGAGGTTTCACATTCGGGTCTTAAGCCCGCATAAGCTCGATACGAGACAATAGAGCGCTAACTCGACGCTCGTTTGAGAAATTCAGCAACAGAAAATTAAATTTTCATATGAATTCGGGGTGATTGTGATCCTACAAAAGCCTTGTAAGACTTGACTACCAAAAGATAACTAGTATATATATAAAAGATTCAAGTATATATTATGTATAGTGCCAATGCTTATCATCATTTTGCTTTACAAAGGGTCAAAGGTATTTAAGCAAACGGTACCTTAATTCGGAGTTAAGCGCACGAAGTTCCCGCCGCACCTGCGATAAGATTACACCTACCGATATTAAAATTAAACGACCCTCAAGTCTACTCACCGTATCCGTTGTCAAACTAAATACTGGACCAGATCTGATCATTATCCAAAAATCCCATCAGTTTATGTGTTTTTTTTTTCAATCGTCAATTCATTTTGTCTGCAGGGTACGTACTGAAATACGGGGTGGCGCTTGGTGTCCAAATGGCTTAATCACATCCAGAAGCCGTCAATACCTTGAAATAGATCTACACGACGAATACTTAATCACCGCCACCGAATCTCAAGGACGATTTGCTAACACGATTGGAGTCGAATTCGTGGAAAGCTACTCTGTGGAATATTGGCGTCACGCTCTTCACCGTTGGGCCAAATACAAAGATTTCAATGGAAGTGGAGTAAGTATCGACTACGCTATACAAAGTCTAAACAGCTTTTTACGGTTGAAATCAAATAAAACAGATTTAAAATTAAACAAAAATTCTAGCGCTACTTTTAAAATTATTTGTGACATATACAAAGATATTCTTACATTATGGATAGCTGAAATACATTTTACATAATGTTAATACTAATTTCACCCATGTTACTGTTATTTCGGCATGAATGCTTAAGTTGTAAAGATGAAAGCATTATTTCCACTGAGATAAATAGGTACGATATCATCTTGCCGGCTGTCAAATTCACTAAGCTCTTTCTAAAGTTTGAACGAGCCAACAATTGGTAAGCAAATGCTGCAAGATGAATGGCTAACACTCGCGACTAATACATTTCAATCATGAATCTGAATTCAAAAGCAAACTGTGTTCATCCTCTGAAAGGGTGCCAGAACGCTTAGCTTTTTGACAAACAAAGCGCTTATCAACGATCGAACTACAGATACTTGATTAGTAGCCAGCAAGTTGAACAACTTTACCTTTGATGTATTTCACATTTTCCTTTGATCAGTCTCTAAATAATTTTTATAATAACTAAACACACGAGCGAAAATGAATTACAATTGTTTGATATAACTTTACGAAATTCTTCTTAATAGGTAGTTTGTTTCTAACGATGGCATTATTTTTTGTTAATTTTAATAAATAATATCTATTTTAAATACAACCGATTCATAGACGTTTATTCGAAAAACAAATATTTAAAGTTATGGTACTTTGATTTTTATGTACGGAATATGTAATTAGAGAATATTTATTGTGCAAAGACAATTCTTTTTTATAAATGAATGAAGATGTCGATATTCCTTGCTAAAAAGTTCAATTGTTTTGTTACGATGATTGACGATTATGGTGACCATAACGATATGTCAATGTTTTCAGAAGTTATAAGCTGTATAGGATAGGTATAATAATAGTGATATGTCCCGAATTCGGAGCAATAATACGTTTGCGATAGGAACAGACAGGTACAACCGCAACACCGTCCGAATCCTAACGATGTGCCACAAAATAATATTTACCAGAAAAAGTTAAGGACCTTATAACAACAGGTCACGCAGAAAGATTCTATCTTTCACTCATTAGAACGTCCCGAATTCAAAGTAGTAATACGTTTGCGACACGAACAGAGAAGGTACAACCATAAAACTGTCCGAATGCTAACAGTGTGCCACAAAATGTTTACCAGAAAAAAATTAAGGCCTTATAACAACAGGCCACGCAGAAAGTTTTCATCTCTTAAAAATCTGAACGTCGCGAATTCAAAGTAGTAATATGTTTGCGATAGGAACAGACAAGGTACAATCACAACACTGTCCGATTGCTAACGAAAATGTTATTTACCGGAAATAAGTTAAGGGCCTTAGAACGAAAGACCACGCAGAAATATGCATCCACATTTTTTACGTGATAAATTGAAAAAGCGTGTTTCGTATAAAAATGGATCGGCGTCAAAAAAAAATGTTACGCGATGGTATTTTACTATTTCAAATGTAGTCTTAATCCGATCGAATCGTCAACCGTGTGCCACTAGTATAACAAATTTCATCACGGTTCTAACTGCCAAACTTTTTTCCTCACGAGGAATAGAGTGAAGTTCACTAAGCTGACTGCTAACCTTCGCTAGTCGACTTGACACCTGAAGAAGAAGACTAACTTTTTAACTATCTTTCACCCTTTGATGCCTATAAAATAATGAAATGAAAAGAACAGGAGAATTACATATGAAGATATTCATGACATATTGCAGATTGGGGCAGGAAACATTCCCGATATTTATTATGAACACCTTTGCGTGAGGAAGATATTTTTGTGATAGGTCCGGCGCAACTTCACCAATACTAAGAAACAAGCTCGCGTGGAAAGATGTGACATGAGTACTTAATTTTTAGCAGACTCCTCAAACAGGTTTAAAATAAACCAACGCCTACCAAAGTTAAGCGATCGAGAAGGTCAGAGATTTTGATCGCTAGTTTTATGGGATATCTGGTATCAATTCAGTTATGATCATCCAATTATGAACTTAAAGTTGCATCATAGCCAAATGATACTCATAGACTATTAAATAATGATATAAAATGTTCACTTCAGTAACCATAAACGAGCTAACACGGAGCTCCGCGGTCCACAGCTTCACCATGATAACGTGCCTGCGCATTTAGCGCTCTAAACGAAGTACCTTCTGGACAGCACATCATTTAAATTATATGGTCACCCTCCTTACAGCTCTGATTTTGAACCCTGTGACTTCCTTTTATTCCCTAAAACAAAAAATCGACTAATAGGATACAGTTTTCATCGCCAGAAAAGGGCCTACCAGATTACATATACCTACCTATTTGAATAGGTCGAAGAAAACGTGGACAAAGTGATTTGTCAATTGGTTCAGTTACAAGAAATTTTGTACAGATGCTTTTGGAGAGTTCTTTAAAAATATTTAAAAATAAAAGTTTAACAATAATACATTTCTTAGTTTCGCGAAACTTCCTGAGTGTTCCACTACAGTACCGATTGCCTATGTAAAATAATTGACGAAGTTATTCGATTGTGTTTCACTTGAAAAATTTAACCAACATGTATCCAAAAATACAGAAGAACTGTATTGTTTTTACTAGATTTTTATTGCACTATATTGCTACAACTATTGCACGAATTTTCAGTAAAATTCACCCGCAGGTGCTTTCTGTTAACTAATTTAGAAAATGTTGATATTGAAAATTTGGAATTTTTGAACAATATTGTTTTTATTTCAGTTACCTTTTATGCCCTTAAAATATTTCGTTTATAAGAATAGTGGTATATATTTTGCAAAAAAAGTTAAATCCAGATGTTATTTGTATAACCACAACACTACATCACAACCAGCGACAGGCCAGGTACTACGTGGCCAATACCGTAGCATGAAAATTACACAAACGTTTCCCGTTCCAATTTTCATAATCACATTTCGGATAGATGCAAATACACGTCGCTGAGGCGCCCTAACTATTCGTAGTAGGTAAGTACATAGATTACGGAGTTTGAGAGCTCGACTTGCAAAGACGACGCTCGTCTTACTTGAAATTAGTCCCATTGCGGCATGAAACCAGACGCTGTAGTTGAATGATACGAGCGCCTTATAGATAATTACAATTAAATGTCATTGATTTCTATGCACTAGTATTTAAGCATCGTTTAATAGAAATATACTTCTGTACTTTTGGAATAAAAAAAATCGTATTCACTTTAGATCTGCAACGTATTATTTATAAACAAATGCGTATATTTTTTACTAGTGAGGTTTTTGTAGGCAGTATTCGTTGTATGTAATCTGTAACGATTACTCCTTGCCACAACAATTAATACTCACGGTCAGCAATTTTTTACAATTTTTATTATTCAATTTCGTAGTTATAATTCTTTACTAGCGTTCAGGATAGACTGAATTAAAGCTACGCGCTTATCACTCTTTTGCTAAATTATTAAAATCTTCCGGACCGATACGACTTAAGGACCTTCAAGAAAAGAGCTTACTCCTTTCTAAAGTGCCGGCAACGCATCTGCAATCCTCGTGTTGCAGTTGTTCAAGGACGGCGGTAATCACTTAACATCTGGTGAGTCATATGCTTGTTAGCCCCCTCAACTATAAAAGAGAAGAACTGCCAAAGAAGAAATTGAACGTGACAGCTTCATTTGTTACAAATTATAATAACTTGATAACTTTACCAATTCTTTATTATTTTAATAATAATTATTAATATTATTAAAAATTATAAAATATTAATACTTATTATACTAATTATTATCAAATAATAATAATTTGAATTATTATTTGAATTTTAACTAGTGTTACTATTAATTATTATTTTGTAATCAACAGCAGAACAATAAGGCAAGCTAACTCATTGTTATTAATAAACAAATGGTAAAGAATTATCAAGGAGAAAGTTAATCACTTTGTTTATACGTATTTGTATATACTAAATTCAGTTTGGTAGAAGATGAATAACGACCAGTACTGTTTTTGTATCTAGATTGATATCCTGATTGATTTTGTACGCACTTTCACGTAGTGTATAGGCTACGCATAATAAATTAATATGTCATAATATATAAATGTAAATAAATAAGTAATAAAAAAGCATAAATTTCTTTAACAAAAAAAGAGTAAAAAACACTGAAGTCCGTATGACAAATTATATAAGTAATCTGTAGGGCACATATACACAGTCAAACATAGGGCAGGGTTCGTAGTGAACTGATTAAGTGCATCTGTATTAAGGGTAGTAGACTGGCGAGGGTCAGAATCACGCCGACAGTAGCCGCCTCTGAAGCGAAAGGTTTTAATTTAAAAGTCATGAGTGAATGACCTAAGTTAGTTTAGTCCACGAGGCCGTTTCTTTGCAGTGGTCACATGAAATAGAATTGTTAATTGGATTTTCACTTTCACAGAGATTGGTCATAATAGCTGCACTGGCTCTGCACATTTTATAATTTTAAACTTGAATTTTGGACATTTCAATTTTTCTAAGGAAATATTTAACCATATATTATTAAATACAAAAAAACGATTTAATACGAAAAATATATTAACAGCTCTAAAAAAAATTGGGACAGTAAGTTTGTCAGTCCTTATTTTACGAAAAAAATGTTACTTTAATATTATGCTGATGTTGTAACTAGGATCATCTCCTTTCGATGGAATCCTTTATGGGGTATGGGGTTATCGTCTTCATGTATAGTTATATACATTGAAATAGATCAGAACATCACAATTATGAAGTTAATCTTCATCATCATCATCATCATTACAGCCCTACACAAGTCCACTGCTGAACATATGCCTCCCCCAAGTAATGCCACAAAGCACGGTCCTGAGCCACCTGCATCCATCGACTTCCTGCATATCTTACCAGGTCGTCACTCCATCTAGTGGGGGGTCGCCCTACACTACGCCTACCGGTACGAGGCTGCCGCTCGAGAACCTTTCTTCCCCATCGGTTATCGGTTCTTCGAGCTATATGGCCGGCCCATAAGTTAATCTTATGCTGCAGTTATTATCATGTCGTCATCTGATCTTCTAGGAACTTCTTAATTTTAACTAATGTCATCTTGAAATTCCATATAAATGTTGTAATAAGAAAAGAAATTATTTGCATATAAATTATAAATTAACTACTAATAGCAAAAGTATAACATATACACACACTCAAATGTAAATGCAAGTGCCCTTAACCCAAGAGCTCCTGCCGCTTACAGAGTCTGGACCTTGGGCAAACAGGCACTCTATTTAATGTTTCTCTGTCTCCAAAAAACCTCTTAACCAGAGATTATCAAACATATTTCTTTTACCGTCCCCTTTGAAAATAAATTAATTTTCAACGGCCTCAATTTTTCATACACTCCTAAAACTTAAAAACCACAATTTCATTACTTTAATTAATTTAGTTATGGAGTGCTTAGGCAGTTCTAGTGTTTGAACTTACATTCTATAGTAGTACCAGTGAGGGCTATTAAAACGCAACTTTATAATATTTAGAACATATTTTAATCAAATTAAAAGAAACAGTATAGGTAATTAATTTTAGTTTTCAAACTAATCTAATGAGGTGGATGAATTTGATGATTTTTAACAAGTTTGTTGATATCAGGATCGACTTTACTCAAAAACAGTCGTAAGTCGCCGCGTTCAAACGACGATAATGCGCGATGATAACGCAATGCAAATGATTTCTTTTGTTACTAAGCAGCGTTGTCACAGTACTAAATCCACGTTCACACAAATTAGACGATGGGAATGCTATCAAAAATCCAAGGTACAATTGCGGAATTGGCTTTTGTAGTAAACATTTTTGGAAATCATTTTTGAATTTGATTTTTATTTCCTCGTTCGCTGTCAGTTCTATAAGTTCTTTCTAAAGTTGGGGGGATACTGCTATGTTGAAATTTGAAAAATAATCTAACACCCGGTCTGGTATTTCAAATTTCAATATGTCCTGGAATCTTTCAATGAAATCACTGAAGAGATTTCACAAATGTTTGCAGTAGACAAGCAAGTCGCATTTATGGAAGGATACTAGTAAATTAGGCAACTTATGGAACTTACGTCTGCCGATCTTCTTCTTGTGTAAAAGCAGATTGTCTACGAAAGCAGCATCGATATTTTTTGTTTTTATTAAGTTCAAGTCATAGTATTGAAGTTGGAGATTCATATCATTAAGCAATTTATAAAGGTCTGTCAGGTATACAAATATTATATATGTCGCGCAATTTTGTGTCTTTTTTTTTCCAAGAACTCTACGACCGAGCCAGTTGGTAAAATCAAATCAGACAATTTCCTTTGAATAGTCAAAGAACTTTTGTATGAAAGATCAAGTGGTAGAAATCTTCATCTTTCGTAACAGAAAGCCGATCAAATAATATGTCATTTAAAAAGTTGTTTCGCATTTTGTTGACTGCTCTGATGACATGTTGCAATGATTGAAATAGTCGTTCACTTAAATTTCTATCAACTAAATGTTGTCGATGTATAACGCAATTTACAGCAAGCACATCTAAAATTTGGTTTATTAAGTACGCTATGCAGCCTATTTGACACTCCGTCATAGCAGGAGCACCATCTGTAGCAGCTGATATAATATTCTTCAAGGGAATTCCTTTTTCATCACAAATTTTTTCCAGTCTTTTAAATATGGTTTCTCCTTTTGTGTCTGTCTCTATATTTCTAGCAAATAATAGTTCTTACCATATTTTTCATCTTTAATAAACCTCACGTAAGACAGCAACAGTACTTCATTAGTTAGTAAAGTGAACTCATCCAACTGAATTGAAAATTTACTGGTCTTCAGATGATTGCACAATAACTCAGCCATTTCATCAATTCGTCTTTGCACAAAACAAATACTCAAAGGAATTTTTCGAATTATGTCTGCTGCCAGTTTATGGATCACAGTAGTTATAACTTCATTTATATATTTTACAACCACACGAAGTACGGCGTGGATGTGTTTGATAAAATGTGCCGTCAGTACGACGTAACCCGAAATAGTCGCCGGTGGCCATAACTCAGCCATTTCATCAATTCGTCACACTATTTTATAATTTCATCAATATGGCTGGCATAAATGGTTTAGTTATATATCAGATCAGTAATCCCGAAGCAAAAGTTTACGTTGGAAAAATTTGCAGGAAGTTGGTTTTTAACTTATACGGCCGCTGGTAGAGCGTAGAATATAGCAACATACTCTGCCAAAAGCGATAAAACTAAGAGCTAGGCAGCTTTTAGATATTAAGGACTATCCATCTGAACAATCAATGCCTGTAAGGGTAGGCAGGGGTCGGTGTTTTTTTTTTATGTAGCAGGGCTCGAGACCGTACTACTCGTAAAGTTTGCAGCAAGTGCAAAAGGCGCATTTGCCCTGATCATGAAACCAGTTTCTGCCCTGACTATGCTCAATTTGATTCGTTTTGTATATTTTTTTTAATTTGATATTTCTAGATTATAAAAATGTTATATTAAATACCTAAATTTTAACATTTTAGAATAAGAATGTTTTGATCTCGAAGTTAATTTTTATTTGTTATTTCTCAAGAAGATTTGTTTTTGTTTTTAATTATAAAGAAAGTGCACTTATTTTGTTTTTGTTATCTTATTATTTGATAAAAATAAAGATATTGATTCATAATTAATGGTTGTTTTATTAAAATTTCAAATATTCAGCAAAATAGGTAGTGTACAAAAAAGGTGACTCCTGTCACACGTGCGTTCACTCTTGTAATAACATTATACATTGTATAACATTCTGAGGCACGTGTGTTAAAGAGCTTCATACAATATATGAAGCTCGAAGTCCGTCATCGTCTTGCTTAACAGCCACCGAAAAAAGTTTTGATACACTCGGCTGAGCATTATGCTTCTTTTGCAGGTCTTGAAAATAGGCTACATTTTTGTCCTTCTTATGTGGATGCGTTTTATTCAAATGATTTTAAAGGCTTCATCACTTCGTTTGTTTTTGAACAAAGAAAGCACAAAGGCAAAGATGGATTTGTCAAATTTTCTAAGAATATACATTTAATGTATTCTGCACTATATTGCCGTCGGATGCCATGTCAGAAGCAATCATCTTTTTTGCTTCCGACATGGCTATGTCGGATGTATGTAAATAAAGGGTTGAACTTAAATACTTGTTTAAATATTGCGCGGAAACAACTAATGAAAATATAAAAATTATTACGAGCTTTTATATAGGATTTAAATACAGCACACACCGACAGGAATAAGATAATCACAAACTCGTTTATCTCTTTCGACGCTCAATTGTACTGAGCAAGTTAAGGCAAGTATCGATAAACTTGCTGATTGTTACTGGATTGTACCAATAGCGTTATTTAACAAAAACTTGTTCCTACGAAATCTATGTTAAGTATTTTTTGATCAAAGAATACTTAACATAGCTTTCGTAGGAACAAGTTTTTGTTAAATAACGCTATTGGTGCAATCCGGTAACAACCATCATACAGGGTAGAAATATAAACGAATTGTTCGATATTGAGTCGTGGGTAGGTATTAAAGTTATAAAGTAAAGTTACAGCCTATATACGTCCCACTGCTGGGCTCCGGCCTCCCCTCATTTCTGAGAGGGTTTAGGGCAAGGAAGTGTCCGCCGCGCTGCCCAAATGCGTGTTGACGAACTTCACATGTCTTCGAAATATTTTTTTTCTTATTCCTCAGACATGCAGGTTTCCTCACGATGTTTTCCTTCACCGCCGAGCACGTGGTAAATCAACACTTAAAATTGCAATTACAATTTCATTGGTGTCGGCGGGGATCGAACCCGGGTTACTCGCGTTCTGTTATATTTACAGCGAGCGTTAACCACTGAGTTAAATTTTACTAAATTTAGAAATATAAACTATCTAAATAAAATTACAAATCAACCATCGCCCCCCAAACCATGCCAATGCCTCCCATTATTTTCTGGGCCACTCAACGCCGCCTCTAATCCAACGCCGGTCTCCAACGCCCGCAAGGGGGCGTTATCGCCCACTGTTAGAAAAACTGCTCTAAATTATATCATTTTTTCAGCTTATCCCCGGCAATGTTAATACCTATACACCTAAGAAGACAACTTTAGAAGCTCCGTTTGTTGCATCCAAAGTAAGGTTTTTCCCATACGCTGCGCACCCTAGGACGGCGTGCATGAGAGTCGAACTCTACGGCTGCCGCTGGAAACGTAGGTACAACAGAGATAAGGTTTTTAATTGCTGGCGATGTCCTACGGCTGGTGCTTTGCGTTCTGCTTGTGCGAATAGTCGCAATAATATAGATTATTGATATGATTTTTATGTGTGAATGCGCATTGCGATTGATAGCCGCCGCTAGGCGGTATATATTCATAAATACTATATTTCTACAGAGGCTATTGTTGCGTACTCCGCACCTAAGGGCGGCGATATGCAAGCAATGACTGGTGGAGCCCGATTTGAAGATCTAGCTTATGATGGTGTTATACGAGGAGAACGGCTGTTGAACGGGTTGGGTCAAATGACCGATTCTCTTACTGGCCCGAATGATTTTGAATTACCTGATCCCAACGATACCAGAGGTAAAAAATACCACACAAATCATTTTACGTTTAACATTTTCCCTACATTTGTAATTTTCTAAAATTAGATAATTAACATTATTAAAGAATTTTCTAAGATCACACAAAATTTCAGGTTCTCGCTGGGTTGGCTGGAACAAGTCGATGCTGATTGACGATGAAATTGAATTGACATTTAACTTTACTGACACTAGGCTTTTGCAATTTGTGGATATTCATACAAATAACATGTTCACCAAAGATGTTCAGGTAAAATTTTTAAAGCTTATTACATTAGATAGGATAACTTATAATGTATGTAAACAACTATATTGTATTAATAACCTTATCATTTAATAACTTCTATAAAAATAGTGTTATTAATTCACTGTGAAAAAAATTTCTGAATTTAGTAATGAAATGTATTGGCTTAAGGATTCGCAACGTGATTTTTGCCTTTAGAAAGCGCAGCGATCGTAACATGCTAGTGTTACCGCTGCTGCAGGCGACTAAATGTTGCATTTGCTCGAATTTTTATTACCGAAGTAATTTTCATCCGTGTCCGTTACTACAAAATGTTGAATATAACTTCATGAAATTTCTATTTTAATTTAACTTTTTAATTATTATACTGTGTGCATATATTTGTGTTCATAAAATATTAGAATTGGCGAATTTTTACATATGCAATCGAAGAAATTAATACAAAGATTGAAGATGTTAAATACTTTTAATAAAAGATTTTTATTAAGAGATTTTGAAATATTCTTAGGTAAACTGACAGACGTGAGATTAGACACTGTTAGCACTGAAACTTAAAAATTAAAATTATACTTGTTTTTAATACATTTAAGAATTAAAATAATCTTATTATTTGCCAGCTCTTTAAAGAAGCAGAAGTATACTTTTCGTTGGAAGGAGAGCGTTGGCAAGAAGACTATATATCACACGAACCCAAACAAGACAAAGTATCAGAGCACGCTCGGATTGTGCATATCGACCTGCAAAACCGCACCGCGAAACACGTAATGATGAAACTGAAGTTTCAACATGAATGGATACTAATTAGTGAAGTCACTTTTAAGTCAGGTAAGTTATGTCTCAAACTAATCACTCACAAATCTAGTTAAATACAACTGCAAGAACTTTAGAACCTGTCGGAACAGCGACTTTACTTACGCTTGTAACAAAATAAACTAGCTGTTTACAATGGCTAAACTTATTTCATTAAAATGGATTAATACTTCTTTTTCTTAGTTATTCTTTATATTTCTTCTTCTTTTTCTTTACAAATTCACTGTTAGACATGTGAGAAGTCTCGCATTTCGACCCTGCTCCTTACCATTACGTATCGTATGTTCTGGATATTTTAAGTCAAAGTAAATGCCCGTAAATACACAGGGTCTTTTCTTGCATCCAACATGACTCTCGGCGATAGGAGGACATATTGCCGATAACCTTGAATTATGAATGCTCCATGCAGAATGTTAGATTTCTGCAGAGCTCGATGCGTAAATCATTTCTCATGTTCCCCAAATTTTTCCCTATACCATAAGTTAAGTTGTTGTTTTAAGATAATCCTTTCAAACTATGCAAATCTGAGTTCACTTTTTTGTATCAGCGTCGAAGTCTCATATACATGGGTCGCGACCAACAATATTATTGTATAGTAGATAGTAATTTTAGACTTGGTAGTTATATATATATAATGGACCTTTTTACCGTCTGGGAAAAGTAGGGTGTAACATGTGAACGAAGTAGAAGCCTATATCATCATCATCATCATTACAGCCCTTCACAAGTCCACTGCTGAACATAGGCCTCCCCCAAGGTATGCCACAAAGCACGGTCCTGAGCTACCTGCATGCATCGACTTCCTGCATGTATTACCAGGTCGTCACTCCATCTAGTGGTGGGTCGCCCTACACTTCGCCTACCGGTACGAGACTGCCACTCGAGAACCTTTTTCCCCAACGGTTGTCGGTTCTTCGAGCTATATGGCCAGCCCATCGCCACTTCAGCTTACTAATCCGTTGGACTATGTCAGTCACTCCGGTTCTACTGCGGATATCCTCTTTTCTAACTTTATCACGCAGAGAGACCCCGAGCATAGCCCTCTCCATAGCTCGCTGAGCGACTTTGAGCGTCCTCATACGGCCAGCAGTGAAGGACCACGTCTTGGTTCCGTAGGTCATCACTGGTAACAAGCACTGGTTGTACACTTTAGTTTTCAGGTTATGAAGTATACCTGACGAGAAGATGTGTCGTAATTTCCCGAACGCTGCCCAGCCGAGTTGAATCCGTCGATTGACCTCTCGGTCGAAGTTGGACTTACCTAATCGGACTATTTGTCCCAGGTAAACGTACTCGTCAACAACTTCGAACTTAGTGCTCCCAACAACTACCGGCATAGGTGTGACATGGACATTAAATATGATCTTTGTTTTGTCCATGTACATCCCAAGACCTATCCGTTGGGAGGCACTATTGAGGTCATTGAGCATAGTGCTTAAGTCCTCCAGCGATTCTGGCATAAGGACTATGTCGTCGGCAAATCGAAGGTGAGTGATGTACTCGCCATTGATGTTAATACCGTATCCTACCCCGGACAAGCCGGTTTCCGAAAAGGCTTTAGTACCATAGACCACATACATACCCTTCGGCAAATTGTACAGAAGTCCGAAGAGTACAAACTGTCACTTTGCCTGGCGTATGTGGACTATGAGAAAGCCTTTGATTCAGTCGAAATTTGGGCGGTGCTACAGTCTCTTCAGTGGTGCCAGGTTGACTGTCTGTGTATCGAAGTGCTGAAGTGTATGTACAGAAGCCTATATATAGCACTGATATTTTACAAAAAATAAAAACAAAAATAATGAATTAAATAAATAAATTAAATTCTATCGAAATTCAAATCAAAATTAAATAAAATTCAATTCAAATTATAAGTTTCTCGACTCCACACAGTCAGTATTCATGTGTAAATGTATACGCTATTACAATAATGTCCCAGAAAATACACAAGGTCTCTCTATTACCAAATTTAAATATTTTATTAAACAAAACCTGTATAAAAAGGGTTATTATTATATCAATGAAAACATCGTTGATAATAACCCCTGGGAATAAAATGGTCGCTTCCAAGCTGTTTCTTAAATAAGTTTTGTAAGTAGTTTGTACAACCTGTGTTTTATTGTATAATTTTACTTTGACAAAAATGTTTCGCTTACTGGTTCTTTTCAGTACAGAGTCTTTTTCCGAATCAATAGTAAAAGTAAAAAAAAAATACTTTCAGTAAGAATTACTTGTAATCCATATTGAAGCTTTTTGCCGTTTCATCAACCATTTTAGTCAAGTAATATTCAAAATTAATGAATTAACAATAAGGAAAATAATTTCTTGATTCCATTATTTGGCATTCCTTGGGGGAGGCCTATGTTCAGCAGTGGACTTGTGAAAGGAAGGAATGGTGATGATGATTATTTGCCACATTAAGACACTACTTACTCCGTCATAATATGACGTATACATATATCATAAACAGACGAGAAAACTATAAAAATTTTCCCATAGTAAAATAATACCTTTAATATAGACATTTTTTTCTTGTAAATTCCTCGTGGGTTACCAAAATCTCCTCAAAAACATTAATGAGTTTTCAATTATAAAGAAAGAGAAAAACATTCAAATTGTTTTATTCTTTGAATCTTATATTTTGAACACACAATTTATATTATCTTGGAATTGGCCCGTTATGCAGAATTCAGGTACGAGCAGTGGATAAGCTCGGACATATTTTTGGACACCCAGACGCAGTCTAATAGAACCATTACTTCTGATCGAACCTTATCTACAGAAAGCACTCGCTCAAGCCCAGAGCTATATCACAATTTTTTTCTTTCTCTAATTAATCCACAGCGTTTTAGAGGAAAATCCCTTTTAAGTGATAAATCGGTGGCCGCGATACAAAGAACTCGTATTAAAGATTTTTGATCTGGATTGTTTCCCTATTAAAGCATGTCGGGGTGCGTTGCGTATAGTATTTTTTTTTAATTTAATAACTGGAAATTAATCCCGATAAATTATATCAAATTATCATTTAAAATTATTTATATTAATTGTTGATATTGAAATAACGGTTATTTCAATAAGTGAACCTGTCCTTAATCTTTTGTAGTCTCTACAATAGTTTTATTAAAGTGACAACTTTGTACTGATTACTACCGTATTTTTATTTTATTTTATCGATAATTAATTGTTTCATTCTTAAATAAATGACATCGACACGTGACTTTTATCTTGTTTATACTCATCTTAAGACATTGGGGGTTCTATTGAGATCATTGAGCATGAGAGCTAAGAGACTTCAGCGATTCTACAATATTGACTTTATCGTCGGTAAATCTAAAGTGAGTGACGTACTCGATCTTGGCGTTAATGTTGATACCGTATCCTCTCCAGGCCTAAGCTTGAAAACGTCTTCCAATAAAGCGGTGAAAACATTTGAGAATACAACGTCACCTTGTCCTGCGTCTACAGTTATCTAACTGGGTCTGCAGTTGTCTAACCTAGATAAGGTTTCGTCTTTTGGTTCTGTACTAGGAGAGTCACCGCAGCGTTACTGAGCAATTATTTCATCTCTTTATTTACCATCGGTCAACTTGACACCGCTGTATAGACTATAGCACCACCCAAAGTTTTCGTGCACTATGCAATATGTTCAATAACCTCAGTAGTGTCTCTCAACGGATAGCTCTTAAGATGTACATGAATAAAACAGAAATCATGTATAACGTCCATGTCACGTGAATAATTTCACATACGCAATACAAAGTGGTTTTACTCTTCTTTATTCTGTACAATTTGCTGGAGGGTATGGGATGTGTATTTAATTTATTGGTACTGAAGCTGTTTTGAAAACTTCCCGAACAAGTTTGAAGCTGTCAAGCTTGTTCGGGAAGTTGGAATCATCAGGTCCATGTGCGATTCGTGATGGCTTTCTACACAGCACGTAGACTCAGCTACAAAGTGAAATCGTTTTGTAGTACTTCAAAAGAGCGTTGTCGCATTTCAAGTAGAGCAAGACCACTACACTTCGGCTCCCAACCTTCAGAGCAACGCCACCATGGAGGATGGTTTTCTGACTTACTTAAAATACCAGTTTTGCACCCGCTTTCTGAAGCTCCACTATAACTCCATCAAAACACGGGGACTTGCCGTTTTTCTGATTGGTAGAATTCGTAATAAAGTAACCAGTGTGACCTACATCCCAACGGATTACTGAGCTGAAGAACTAATGGGTCGACCTTATAGTTCGTAAACTGACAACTGATGGAAAGGAAAAGTTCTCGATCGTGATTTGACGATAACCAACGTAATTATAGATTTAAAACATAAATATTTTCGGCCAAATGTATATGAAGTGCCTTAAAACATGGTCTTTAATTTATTATACGACCTCTAAAAATACCAATAATTATTAGCCAAACTAATATATGCCTTAAATGCACGCTTTAAAATCGCGATATCAACTGAAAAATCCTACTCGATATAAAACCAAACAAATCTATCGTTCACATGTTACGCGAGCAATGAAACGTGAATTATTGTCCGATGTGTTTTTGTAATTCATCCAATTGCACGGGGATCGGATTTCGGGAAAATTAATGATATACGTGATCTACATGTGCCTGGACATTTTTATGGTACATGCTATACAAAATAGAATCTAAAAATCCACATGCAACCTACAATAGCGTCATTTGTCCATACACTAAAAAACTTATTTTTTATCATTTTATACTCTAAATTTAAACCATTGCACGAGTCATTTCAAATATAACACATATTTCTTGTTTTTTCATTTCTATACTGGTAGCATATTAATTACACGTTCTCGTGATATTGCATTTTTTGAATTGCACACTCATCTCGGTAAATCTCTACCTTCAAATGTTCACTACTTTATTGATATGAGAAAATTTATTATAATGTTACATTTTTACGGTACTATATTTTCTGAAATAATTATTATGAGTATATCAGAAAATATAATTCGTATAAACGATGGAATAACACAAGCAGCAAAATTC